GGGGCAGAGAGGTACCGACCGACGCCCCAATCAGTGCAGCGCAGCCCTGCGCCAGGCACCGCCTGCTTCGACTTTACCCCGTGCCGAGGCACCCCCCTCCCCTCCGCCCCACTCCTTTCCCCTTGCCTCCGTCAGTCGATGCCACAAAGCCGTCTCCGCCTTCTCCGCCTCTCTCCCCACCCCTCCTCGACCCCTGCGCGCCCAGTTCAAAAGAGGAGATGCGGCCCCCGAGGAGTGGAGACAAACGCTCGAAACGTCTGCCCACCCCGCGAACCACCCCGCTTGCCTACACTGCTGGTGAACTACTAAAGGGAAAGTAATGGAAAAGAAAATAAGAGTGACGCTACTTCGTCTCCTGTGAGGGACCAAACGGTACGGCCAAATAATTGTCTTTCTTTCGCTCCTGCACTGCTGGGCGGACAGCAATCGGGAAATTGAATTGCACTCCCTGGGTATAGAGAAAGCAGCGCGCAAATGACGACATCACGGCGTGGCGCACGGACCGAGTCGTTTTGACGTGCGCTGAGCTTCAGCACATTGCAAAAAATAATTACAAACTGGTTTCATTATATTTTTTAAAAAGTCCTCCATTTTATGTTTTGCTCTGGTATTATCTTTCACGTTGAATAAAATATCGTGTGTTCACTAAATGCCGCGTGACTATGCCCGTGCCCTGTCTATTGTGTAGACGGTGGGGCTTAGAAGGAAAACACAACACAACAATATCCCTGCAAAAAAAAAATGTACTTAGGTGTTTTGTTTTTTTGTTTGTTTTTTTCCAACGGTTGGTGAGGGGGTAGGGTGTTGATGGTGGTGAAAGTATCGCTTTCTGTTGGGCTGGGCGGTGTGTAAACGGCCTCCAGTTGACGTGCGTGACGTTGCAGAAGCCCCCAACCCCCTCCTGTTCCACCCTCACCTCCCCAAACGGAGAGGCGTGAACTGCCGCGGCCCGATTTCGCCGCATCATCGTTTAATTTCACGAGACGGCGCAGCGCGACCTGGACTTGCTGCGACCCCCAGCTCCGCCCCTGTTTCGCCCCTGCTAGGCCCTGTGGCACCCCCTTTACTCCCCATTCCCAGCGCCACCACTTCCTCAATAATCCATCACATCACTCCTGCTCCTGCTCTACTTTTTTTCCTTCGCCGCAACATGAGGAATAACACGTTTTTCTTTGCGCGAGCTGGCATCAGTTTTTCCCCCTATGACAACGTTTTTGTTAATTACGTGGTGATTACTGGTCAGTCTTTTCCTTTGGTCGTAACCAATCGACCCCCCCTCCCGTTCCCTCCTTTTTCGCTCGAAAAAACAAAATCGCGTTTCTACTTTTTTTTCGTGTGCTTTCAGTTTATCGCTCGTTTCCCCGAGACACGACGCGCGCTCATTTTTCTCCGCTCTCATGAAATTTCCTAACCTGATAACCGTCGGCATGCTCGAGCAGATGACACCCCCTCCACTTCCTTCCCCCCAGATACACGATGCCCCCCCCCCCTTTCCCCCCTTCTTTCCTTCGCCCTCTATTACTAGCCAAATTTTGTTACGTAATGGTCCGTG